GGCATCGGGCCAAAGAATAAGCATGCCTGTTTTGAAAAAGATCGGTCAATATTTAACAGGTCAAATTGACCCTGACCTTTGTTGGAGAAATGACAAAATTTGTATTCTATAGCGTATATATTTACTCCTGAAGGACATAGACCCGAGAAGTTGATAGTATATCCTAAAGGTACCAATTATATTATCGGATGTGCTCAGATATGGGAGTTATACATAATAAGGTAAATGTGACTATGTGTGCATAGTTTTACTATTACTCCATTAGAGGACGGAAATGTCGCGCTGATAGCTTTGAAATTGTACATGAACTTCCGATTATGGTCAAGGACGACGCCTATAGTTTTCGGTGAAGTTGAGATTTCATTCCGGGGGGTGCAATGAACCGAAAACTTTAATTTTGTCAGATTTTCTAGTCGCTCTAGAGGCAATTATTATATGCAGAACATCACATCTTTTACAAGGTGAAGGGGATCTGACCAAATACTTAGAGCAGCTGTTTAGATTATGATCGGTCAATATTCCGAGGGTGAAATCAACCAAAACATAAAGTGACAAAATTGGAAAATATGCCAGGTTTAGAAAGCGGAATTGTTGGTCTATAATCGGTGAAGAGGGTGTAAATATCTCGAAATATTGCCCAGGCTCAGAATATAGAACCGCAGAAAGTTTGATTTTCGTGGTAGTTGTGTAGGGTATCATATGGTCGGCCCCGTCCGACTATACTGCTCCGCTCACTGGTTTAAAACTATTTTTCATATGCGGAGATTTTTATACCCTTCACCACACTGTGGTACAGGGTATTATGTCTTTGTGCATATGTTTGTAACAGGCAAAAGGTAACGAGGTAGACACATGGTTCCTTTTGAGAATATGCCTAGAATCACTTTCTAAGTCGATTGTACAGGTCGCATTTATGATCCGATTTGGATGAAAGTTGGCATAGGTCACTTATTTGGCCCAAGGACGAGCCCTATTGAAATTGGGGAAAATATGTTCAGATTTAGATATAGCTCCCATATTTAGTTTTGTCCGATTTTCTGTAAATGGTGCACCAAAGTCCCTATATATCATTCGATTTCCAAGAAATTTGGCAAAGGGTACTGAATTAGGTCCAGAATGATGTGTGCTAAGTTTCGTGAAAATCGGATTAGATTTAAATATAGCTCCCGTATATAGTTTCGTCCGATTTTCTGTAAGTGGTGTACCAAAGTCCATGTATCTTTCGATTTGCACGAAATTTGGCATAGCGTACTCGATTAAGTGTAGAATAATGTGTGCTAAGTTTCGTGAAAATCGGTTCAGATTTAGATATAGATAGGTGTAGGTGTACCAAAGTCCATATATATCTTCGTCCGATTTTCTGTAAATTTGCACGAAATTTGACATAGCGTACTCAATTCAATCTAGAATGATGTTTGTTGATTTCCGTGAAAATCGGTTCAGATTTATATATAGCTGCCATATATATTTTCGTCCTAGTTCCTATATATATTTCGATTTGCACGCAATTTGGTATAGCGTACTGAATTGAGCCTAAAATGCTGCATTTCTAATTTAATTTTCATTCGCTTTTTTCTATTTCAGGTCTTGCCAAAATGGTTGTCGACGATTTGGAACCCTCTTTCCAATTTTGCACGTACATCATCTACGGTTATGCCGGTATTGAACGTGACTCCTTCAAGGCCATGAGTTTGAATCAAAATCTCGATTTAGATTTGGGCAAGGGTCTGTATCGTACAGTGACTCGCCTAAAGCGTAAATATCCCAATGTTAAAGTTATGTTGAGTGTTGGTGGTGATCGCGATATTGAGACTGGTGAAGATGCCAAGGATCTGCCCAATAAATATTTGGAACTTTTGGAAAATCCCATTGGTCGTCAACGTTTCATTAATACCATTTATGCTTTGGTGAAGACCTATGGTTTCGATGGTGTCGATATGGCCTATCAATTCCCCAAAAATAAACCCAAGAAGGTGCACAGTGGTTTGGGCTCGTTCTGGAAGGGTTTGAAGAAGACTTTCACTGGTGACTTTGATGTTGATCCTGAATCGGAAATGCACAAGGAACAATTTACCGCTTTGATGCGTGAATTGAAAAATGAATTGCGTCCTGATAACTACTTGGTGTCCGCCACCGTTTTGCCCAATGTTAATTCGTCGAGTAAGTGGGATTTTGAATCAGATTCCGAAAAAAGAAATATTTCTAATTTTGTTTTCTGATTTTTATTATAGAATTCTTTGATGTCGCTGCCTTGAACAGCTATGTCGACTTCGTCAACTTGGCTGCCTTTGATTTCTACACCCCTGAACGCAATCCCACTGTGGCTGATATTACCGCTCCCCTCTACCCCATGGCTGATCGTAATCCTGAATTCAGTGTCGATTCTGTGGTCCAACATTGGTTACGCCATGGCTTCCCTAGCACCAAAATTAATGTTGGCATTAGCACCTATGGCCGCCCCTGGAAAATGACTGATGATTCGGGTGATTCTGGCATCCCACCAATTAGCAAGGTTGAAAATGCCGCACCCAAGGGTGAAAATACTCAAATTCAAGGTCTCTACAGCTGGCAAGAGGTGTGCCAAATGTTGCCCAATGCCAATAATATGTATGCCAAGGGTGCTAATGCTCCACTGAAAAAGGTCCTTGATCCTGCCCGCAGAAGTGGTGTGTACGCTTTCCGTGCTGCCGACAAAAAGGGTGATCATGGTGTTTGGGTATCCTATGAAGATCCTGATACCGCTGCTGAAAAGACTGCCTATTCGAAGAATTTGAATTTGGGTGGTGTTGCGCTGTTCGATTTGGAGTATGATGATTTCCGTGGCTTGTGCGTCGGAGAGAAATATCCCATTTTGAGAGCCATTAAATATCGTTTACTCAACTAAGTGGTGGAGTAGGAGGAGGAGGATGAGAAGAAGATATTTCGTTTCTAGGAATTTCAAAACACACATTTTTTTACTAATTTTAAGGATTTACAAAAACAGAACAGTTGACATATATTTTGCAGATTTTTTTTGTTTGTTTTAAGAATCGAAAATAAAAAAAAATATATATAAAAAAATGAAGGGGTCGATTTTTAAACTGGCGGAAGGACAATTTGCGGAAATGTAGGGTCAATGAAAAACTATTTTTAAACCAGTAAGGAAAGTAGTAAAGTCGGATGGGGCCGACTATATGATACCCTTGACCATTATGGGTATATTAAACAGATGCATCCGAACAGACGTCACATTGTTGAAGGATTAAATTGGATTATCAAAAAAAGTGACCTTTATCTGAATGTGAACCAACTTGGATCCATCCATAAACATTATTCGTTTGTTACAATAGGACAACATTATGTAAATCGATTTAAAGCAAATATCTATGGTACACCCGTTGAATATTTGGAATCCAATTAACACAAATCGGTCGGAAATATTTATGGGCCTTGGGTCTTTTTACTTAAAATCGGACGAAACTATGTATGGGAGCTATATCTAAATCCGAACCGATTCCAACAAAACTTTACACAAGGTAGGTTATAGTCACTTCAGTATGTTGTGCATGTTTTGTTCCAATCGGGTCTTTGGTGCACCATTTACCTTAAATCGGACGAAAATATATATGGGAGCTATATCTATATCTGAACCGATTTTCACGAAACTTAACACACATCATTCTAGACTCAATTCAGTGCACTATGCCCAATTTCGTGCAAATCAAAAGATATATAGGGACTTTGGTGCACCATTTACATTAAATCGGACGAAAATATATATGGGAGCTATATCTTAATCTGAACCGATTTTTACGAAACTTAGCACACATAATTCTAGGCCTAATTCAGTACGCTATGCCAAATTTCAGGGAAATCGAAAGATATATAGGGACTTTGGTGCACCATTTACCTTAAATCGGACCAAAATATATATGTGAGCTATATCTAAATATGACCCGATTTTCGCGAAAACTAATACACATGATTCTAGGCTTAATTCAGTGCACTATGCCCAATTTCGTGCAAATCAAAAGATGTATAGGGACTTTGGTACACCATTTACATTAAATCGGACGAAAATATATATGGGAGCTATATCTTAATCTGAACCGATTTTCACGAAAGTTAGCACACATCATTCTAGGCCTAATTCAATATGCTATGCCAAATTTCGTGGAAATCGTGAGACATATCTAAATCTAACCCCATTTTCACGAAACTTAGCACACATCATTCTGCAGCTAATTTAGTACCCTCCGCCAAATTTCGTGCAAATCAAAAGATATATAATGACTTTGGTGCACCATTTAGATGAAATCGGAGCTATATCAATATCTGAACTGATTTTCCCGAAACTTAGCACACATCATTCTAGACCTAATTCAGTACGCTGTGCCAAATTTCGTGCTAATCGAAAGATTTATAGGGACTTTGGTGCCCCATAAAGACCTTCAGATACCTTCTTGAGAAAATATTTGGTTTTTTCTCATTTCTTCATTTTTATATTATTGTTCGGTTCTTTAAATTGAAAAATCCCATCCCGCCACTATTTAAACCCCTCTACAAAACTTCTCCATTCCACTAATTTTCTCTTGACATGAAATGCCAGCCAAAGAAGATATCATCATTTACAAAACTTTGCGAACGGAAACATTCTAACATTTTCGAAAGGATATGCTTTCATGCTGCTACAGCTTGTTATTAGTTCTGAAGTTAGATGGAAACATGTTGGCGGGATAACAAGCAGAGAACTTCGACTACAAAGCAGTTTCATCTGCTATTGACAGTTATAATTTTTGTGCTGCAGGGCATAGCAATTAAAATTATAAAATATAACAACATTTTCAATGTATGGCGGTATGTTATGGAATTTCATTATATCCTTATGTTGCAACTAGTGAACGGAGGTGTATCCGTACGTGTGTGTGTGTTTAGAATACCTTAAGGCCTTGTTGGGTTAATGTCCGTTAAACATTTGTGTGCTTTCCCACCAAACCCCCTCCCCCTTCAAATCCCAGCCATTAATGCCTGAAAGCTGCTGTGTGCCGTTCCCTGCCATTATGTTGGCCATTGTGGCAGTGAAAGGGTCCATAAGGATTATTCTCCACTTTCGTGGGATGGGGTTGTTCGTGAATAATAAGGCGATTCTGTGGATTTTAAATTAATTTATATGTGTTGTCAGTTGTGCTGTTTAGGGATTTGGAATGGAAATAAAATAAATGTCAAATATTTAATGGGTGAAATCATTAGAAGTGATTTGGGTAGGAGGGGGGTTAGGGAACGGTAGTCAGCTCCAGAAGGAAAAAAATATGGGATACAAAAGAAAAGTAAAATATTTAATGGGTGAAGTTATTAGAAGTGATTGGGGTAGAGGGGGGTTAGGGAACGGTAGTCAGTTCCAGATGGAAAAATGGCTATCTCGACAAGGAAGGCCCTCAACAGCGACTATTACATAATGTTAATGAATATTTTAAAGGATGTCGAAGATATCCTTCTCCACAGATAGATTCTGGAATGCCAAGTGTATGGATTGTTTGAAGTCAGTTAAATATTGATAACATATTCAATATTTGATTTTTGTCAATGGTACTCCAATTTCTGTAGGTTAAAACAAAAAAACAAATGAAAAAGCGTTAAGTTCGGCCGGGCCGAACTTTGGATACCCTCCATACCATAGTTATACTGACATGCAATGCAAATATAGAGAACATACCAAAAAGTGGGTATATACCGATAATTCTACAAACCGATTTATGTAAACCATTATGTACATCAAATTCAAACTTCAGCTATGTTTAATAGGGATTTTTCCTAAAATCTGTCCAAATCCATAAAGTGGACTGATACTGATAACGCATGGTAGAGTATAAAATCCACAAACTACTGTAATTTAGATTACAAAGTTATATGAGGCTATACCTACAGGGGGCCAATATTGATTACATAGTGTAGGAAATAGTGAATATTTGTGGATATCAATATATGAGGGCTATGCCTAATTAATGACCGGTATATGCCAATTTTGAACCCAATATTTTAATTGTTTATCTCAATTCTTTCCTTCAGGAGGTATCACTATCAATGGGCAAGTTTAGAGTGGTTTGCGCATAGTGGGACAGATTTGTGTAAATCGATTTAAAGAAAACTTGACATACGCTATTCGGTATGCTGCACTGTTTAAAATTTAATCTCAATCAGCCACCTCCTATTGATTATTTGGTGTACAATTAACATAAATAAGTCGAAATTATATATGGATGCTACGATATATTTATATCTGAACCGATTTGAAGCAAACTTGCTAGAGGTTAGCACACATCATTCTAGACCTAATTTAGTAGGCTATACCAAATTTCGTACAAATCGAAAGATATATAGGGACTTTGGTACCCCATTTACATTAAATCCGGCGAAAGTATACATGGGAGCTCTATCGTAATCTGACCCGATTTTCTCGAAACTTGGCACACATCATTCTGGATCTAATTCAGTACTCTGTGCCAAATTTCGTGCAAATCGAAAGATATATAGGGACTTTGGTGCACCATTTACCTTTAAATCGGACGAAACTATATATGGGAGCTATATCTAAATCTGACCCAATTTTCTCGAAACTTAGCACACATCATTCGGGGCCTAATTCAGTGCTATGTGCCAAATTTCGTGCAAATCGAAAGATATATAGGGACTTTGGTGCACCATTTACCTTAAATCGGACGAAACTATATATGGGAGCTATATCTAAATCTGACCCAATTTTCTCGGAACTTAGCACACATCATTCTGGACCTAATTCAGTACTCTGTGCCAAATTTCGTGCGAATCGAATGATTTTCAGAGACTTTGGTGCACGAATTACCTAAAATCGGACGAAGATATATATGGGAGCTAAATCTAAATCTGAACCGATTTTCACGAAACTTGGCAGACATCATTTTGGACCTAATTCAGTACTCTATGCCAAATTTCATGCAAATCTAATGATATATAGGGACTTTGGTGCACCCTTTACCATAAATCGGACGAAACAATATATATGGGAGCTATATCTAAATCTGGACCGATTTTCAGGAAACTTAGCACACATCTTTCTTGAACGAATTCAGTACGCTGTGCCAAATTTCGTGCAAATCTAAAGATATGTAGACACTTTGGTGCGCCATTTACCTTAAATCGGACCAAACTATATATGGGAGCTATAGCTGAATCTGAACCGATTTTCTCGAAACTTGGCACACATCATTCTGGAACTAATTCAGTATGCTATGCCAAATTTCGTGCATATCGAAACATATATAGGGACTTTGGTGCCCCATTTACCTTAAATCGGACGAAAATATATACGGGAGCTATATCTAAATCTGAACCGATTTTTCCCAATTTTAATAGGGTTCGTCCTTGGGCCAAATAAGTGAGCTGTGCCAAATTTCATCTAAATCGGATAATAAATGCGACCTGTACTTTGTTTACAATTTAACATGGACAGACAGACGGACGGACATGCATAAATCGACTTAAAAAGTGATTCTATGCATATTAATACTTTTTGGTGGGGAGATTTGTTACCATATACGACTACAAAATACCAAATTTCAGCGAATTCGGTTGAAAAACTCGCTCAAGAACCTCAAAATATCGAAAAATTGGGGGTACCCTTGTATGGGAGCTACCCGAAAAAAATTGACATATATTACTAATTTTTCGTGGAGATATTTGCTACCCAATAAGAACTCAAATTACTAAATTACAGTTAATTCGGTAAAAAAATCAGGACAAAAGCTCCCAAAAACTGCAAATTGGAAGGTATCCTTATATGGGAGATACCCGAAAAAATTGACCTATATTCATAATTTTTTGTGGATAAATATGGTACCCAATAAGAGTTCAATGTACCAAATTTCAGCGAATTCGGTTGAAACCCGCGCTCAAGAACCTCAAAATACCGAAAATAGAGGGGTACCCTTATATGGGCGCTACCCGAAAAAATTGACCTATATTTATAATTTTTAGTATAGAGAGATTTGCTACCCAATAGGAACTCAAAGTACCGAATTTCAACGAGTTCGGTCGAAAAATGTGATCAAACCCCCCAAAATACCGCGATATTGGGGGTACCCTTATATGGGGGCGATTTGAAAATATGGACCCGTATTTATAATTTTTAGTGGAGATATTTGCTAACCAATAAGAACTCAATGTACCAAATTTCAGCGAATTCAGTTGAAAAACGCGCTCAAGAACCTCAAAATACCGAAAATTTGGGGTACCCTTATATAAGGGCTACCCGAAAAAATTGACCTATATTTAAAATTTTTAGTATAGAGATTTGCTACCCCATAGGAACTCAAAGTACCGAATTTCAATGAATTCGGTCAAAAAATGTGATCAAACCCCCCAAAATACCGCAAAATTGGGGGTACCCTTATATGGGGACTATCCGAAAATATGTACCCATATTTATAATTTTTAATGGAGAGATTTGCTACCCAATAAGAACTCAATGTACCAAATTTCAGCTAATTCGGTTGAAAACCGCGTTCAAGAACCTCAAAATACCGAAAAATTGGGGTACCCTTATATAAGGGCTACCCGAAAAAATTGACCTATATTTATAATTTTTAGTATAGAGATTTGCTACCCCATAGGAACTCAAAGTACCGAATTTCAATGAATTCGGTCAAAAAATGTGATCAAACCCCCCAAAATACCGCAAAATTGGGGGTACCCTTATATGGGGGCTATCCGAAAATATGGACCCATATTTATAATTTTTAGTGGGAGATTTGCTACCCAATAAGAACTCAATGTACCAAATTTCAGCGAATTCAGTTGAAAAACGCACTCAAGAACCTCAAAATACCAAAAATTTTGGGGGTACCCTTATATGGGAGCTATGCCTAAACGTGGACCGATAAAGCTCATCTTCGAACTTGTCCTGCCTGCAGACGAAAGACGACTCTGTGCAAAATTTTGGCGATCTATCTCAATTCGTTTAGACGCTAGAGTGATTACAAAAGCCAGACGGACAGACAGACAGACGGACATGGCTATATCGTCATATAATTTAACGTTGATCAAAAATATATATACTTTATAGGGTCGGAAATGATTATTTCGATGCGTTACAAACGGAAAAACAAAACTAATATACCCTCCATACTATGTTGGAGGGTATAAAAAAATCAGAAGCATATTTTATATATACCTATAGTGGTTTAGGGTGTTATATAGTCGACCACGTCTAAATTTTAAATACTTTCCCTACTGGTTTTTATTTTAAATTTTGTTTTTTATTCGATTTTTTACATTATAAGTCCTTTGCTTTCATTCCACTGTTTGCAGCTAACCCCTTAGCATCACAATCAAACAGGTCGCCTGAAAGTATGCTATAGTTTTTGTGTGTGTTCATTTTCATGGGAATAGCCTTAACCCTTAACCGTTCAATGAGTTTTAGGGGGTAAATAGAAAGTTTGTTCTTTACGACTACAACAAAAATAGAAGAATGAAACGTATTGTAAACCAATTGGCCTGGTAGCAAAGAACTTTCAATGATTAATAAATAATTAATAAAAAAAAACCAGTAAGGAAAGTAGTAAAGTCGGACGGGGCCGACTATATGATACCCTTCACCACTATGGATATATTAAACAGGACTATTAACATGAAATTGAATGAAATAAAATATGTGATATTTATCTAAATGCGAATCTACCTATATATCCATAAGTTATATAAATCGACTTCAATCAAATATAAATAGGTTATCTGTTGGGCTATGTCTGTACTTCTAGAAAACGCAACTACGTAATTCTATGCTCAATTTTGTACGTTGTGCAAAATTTGATGTCAACCTGACTAGCATGAAGAGTTTGATGTCCAATTTACTTAAAATCGGGCGAAAATATATATGGAAGCTCTATCCAAATATATCGAAGGATATATATGGACTTTGGTGCACCATTTACATGAAATCGGACGAAACTATATCTGAATCTGGGCCGATTTTCGCGAAACTGGGCAGACATCATTCTAGGCTCAATTCAGTACGTTATGCCAAATTTCCTGCAAATCGAAAGATATATAAGGACTTTGGTACGCCATTTACCAAAAATCGGCCGAAACTATATATGGGAGCTATATCTAAATC